ATCGTAGTGATCTGGTGTTGGAGGGTGTTCACGGGACATTGTTAGCAACTGTTAGTTCTTAAGCATACTACATGCATGAGTATACAAAATCAACAAACAAGCACCACAAACACACACCAAAGGTAGGCACATGAGGGGGGGGTAGCATTTATTTATGTGTTTGTTATATATATATATATTATCTAGAAACCATAACAAGGAGCCCAAAAAGGTAGGTCTTTTCGGCTCCAGGTAAGCCCTGAGGTCAGGTTCCAGCCCGGTTGCCGAAGCTGAGGGCTTGGGCTCGCCTGTGGCGGCACTTCCAATTCCGATCTCCTTGCTGCGGCCATGAGGTCGTCTCTTCTTACGAGGGTTTAGGGTTTCGGGGTTAGGGAGACAGAGGTCGTCTATTCTCACTAGGGTTTAGGGTTTAGAGGTCTATTCTTACGCCAGTCTGAGGCAGTTTTCCCGGAAGCCCAGGCAAGTTGAAGAGCAGTGTTTGACAGCAAGTGCGATACAGAACAGCTACCGAGCAGTGCCATGTAGGTTATATAGTTATAGACTGTCATGAACGTCGATCCGCGGCTCGAAAGGGATTGCTAGGCAGTTGCCTTCACTCGTGCCGTCTTTACAGACGCCTGTGGTTCCCGACATGTCAAATTTTCCAGCGCATGCGATTCAGTTTGCAATCATAGCTTGGCATGGGCCAGGCTGCCTGCTGCCATGATGGGTTGCCGCATGGCAGAGGTGTATGGTGCAAGGGTTTATTTTTCACGTGATAAACCCATCCCCAAGGGATGCCGAGCAGTGAGTAAGCGAAACAAAAGAACCGGGCTGCTCCATTCCGCGCTGATCCATGCTGCTCAGCGGAAGAATCCGCGGAAGCTCAATTGTCGATCTGTCTTAGGATCTTGCAACAGTCTCACCTGCCAGAAAGCACCGGGAAGTTCACGTAAACCCTGAACCCCAAGTCTACTGCAAGCAGTAGGGGTGATAAGCTGGTGGGAAGGCGCGGCTTCCTTGAGCTCATGGACACCATGCCTCAGGTCTGCGGGAATTCTTATGCATGCCTGTTTTTGGTAGGGCTTCGGGTTCAGAGTTGACGTAATCTTCAATTCGACCTTGCTTGGAGAGGCCATGAAAATGGACTTCGCCCCCTACATTGAGCAGTTGTTCCCGCCAATGTTGATGGGAATCACAGGCACCACGTTGCATTTTGGACGTTCACAGCATGGCCTGAGTGGCAGCTGTAGTCGGGCATCTGTCTATTGGCCGCAGGCGATGTGGCAAGATTTTCACTTTGTCTGCCGCTCTGTCCATCTGTCGGTCGGTTGTTTTGGTTTCTCTCTCTCTCTCTCTCTCTCGATCTCTCGATCTCTCGCTCTCTCGCTCTCTCTCTATCTCTGTCTCTCTCATTGTGTGCATGTGAGAGTGTTTGTCGGTCTCTCCCTCTCTCTCTCTCTCTCTCTCTCTCGCTTTCTCTCTGTCTGTCCGTTCGATCGCTTTGGCTGGTCTTGCTCTCCCTCTGTCTCTTCCTGCTTTCACCTAGATGCCAGACCTCCGGAGAGTCCTTTGCAGCTTGATGACTTGTCGAGGCGACAAAGATCAAAACGAGGACGCTGTTGTTGCATAGCTTGACTTCAGGTCTTGTTTGTTGACTATGGAGCTGCAATCGGATCACTGGATCTGGAGTTATCGTCTTTCTTTTGCGTTTGACTGACATAATTAACAGTCCGACAAAACCTGCTCAGAAGATGCTTGGTGCGAAGAACCCTCAAGACACTTTCGGACTCGAAGACACGAAGTCCGTGCTACCAGGGCATCCAATCCAATCTGCAGTTCATCCGTTGCAAAGCCAGGATAGAATCCATACTACTCCCTGCAGCACCATGGCATAGATCCTTCCAACACCCGATGAAACCCGGATGCCAAGCTCGCCAGGATCCCGGCCACCGCGCTGCCTTAGCATTGGTGCAGCGTTTTGGGGACTTGTGCCAGGGGCCTGGGGATCAATTCGCTCAGGTTTTCAGGGCTCGCGATATCGGGTCTAAGGGTCGCTACGCCGCTACGCAGAAGCTGCATAGGATCACCACCAACAGATTTGTGGTCTAGAAAGTTGCGATGCCCTGCGTTTCAATACCGAAAAGAAAGGGTGCTTTGCGGAGCTCACACCGCCCTGAGGGGCTGCGCACTGCAGAAATCCCCAGTCTGGCGTCTACTACACCTGCAGCTGCTGCTGAACTTTGTCGTGCTTGTGCTGCTGTGACAGACAAGTGCTGCGTGGCACCACCACTTGACACCACCAGGATGACTAGCACAGACCACCGATTTCTGCCCCTTAATCGGATCACGGGCTTCATCTCCGCGTTCTTACCGCTGCACCTCTTGCTGCCGTTTCTGCTGCTGATGCACCTGTTGCCCCTTTTCCAGCTCCTCCTCCTCCTCATCCTTTTGCCACTGCCGCTTCTGTGGCCAATGCAACTTTGGCATTCTCGTGGTTCTCTTGTTGTGGGACGTCACATTTTGCTGGTTGTTTATGCTTCACACCATGACCAGGTCCTGATCGCTTGTTGGATGGCTTTGAGGGAACCTACTGCCGCACCCTGCAGCACGACTCACCCGAGGAGCCGGTAGCACAGGGGTCTTTTGCTTCTAAGCGCCATCTTTGAGCCGGTTCTCGTTTTTCTGGCCCGGCCGGCCCTTTGCAGTCCGCAGGAGGCGAGCCGGAATGCTGTTGTGAGGGAAAAGAATGTGGTGCTCCTCGGCAAGGCACCAGCAGTGCCGGTGCATCGGTCTCAGCCTCTTGGTGGTACATCGCTTGACTCTGCCTGAACCCATGGACCCTCTTGTGTTACATACTGGTGCCCGCAAGAGCTCTCTCTCTCTCTCTCTCAGTCTCTGTGTCTGTCTATGCCTACTTCTTGTTTCTCGCCCGACTGTCCGTCGTGACTTTGTTTGCCTCTGCGCGACGGGGGGTCTGTGGCCCGCAGCCAGGTCGCCGAAAAAATTCTGGAGCACAAGAAGTTCGGCCAAGACCTGCTCACCACAGAGGACCATTTTAACTACTGCCATGACTGTTCGATTCGGCTCCTCTTCATGTCGACGAGTTGCATTCTGGCTACTGCCATGTGACTGCTAGGACCCAGGACCTGCCAGGCTGCCGTTCCTAGAAGCCTGCTGTGACCAACTCGCTACCAGGATTGCTCCAACAAGGCGACCCGTGAGCGAGTCTTGGTGCTTATCTTCTTGGCCAGGTGCCCTCGGGGCTTGCAGTGTTTCGTTGGATTATCGATTCGGTGCATCTGCCGTGTGTGTGTGTGTGTGTGTGTCTGTCTATTGTAGGCATGTGTTTAGACGGATGCTGCAGCCGCGATCCATCAAGTCAGGAAGCCCTCACGCGGCGACAGGCTAATGCCATGATGCATTGCAGGCAGCTCTTGAGATGACTGCCAAACCAGGGCTGCCCGGCTTTCCGGAAGTGGCGACAGCATGCCAACATGGACAGCTGTCTCATACAATCCTTTATCAATCAAGCGAGAGCACCGATTACAACAAATATTGCAAGAGTTCAAGTGGTACTCATTCGTTGGCTTGCAGGGCACTCAAAAGCGCACTGACCATGCAGTGGTTCAATATCGTTGTGGCAGCCATTTGGTTTTTGAGTGGGGATGCGCTGCCGACGATAAGGCAGCAGGTGTTCTTCTTGCAATCCGGTCATGGCTTTTCCAGTCACGCAACGTCGTTCGTGTTCACACGCCACCAACTCAGTTCCAAGGAAGGGTTGGTGCACTTCGCTTGTGTAGAGGAGATGCTGATTTTTGTGTCATCGTGGCATATGTCCCAGTGGAACCTCATAGCCAAGCGCAGCGGTCTTACAATGAACGATTGTGGGCATGGATTCAGCATCTGGTGGACTCACTGCCAAATCGATGTGTGCCAATCTTACTGCTGGATGCCAATGGTAGGACGGGATCTGTCGGCAGTGACGCCGTGGGTTTGGTGCAGCCGCAACGTCAGAATTTCAATGGCTCGCCCATGCATGGTGTTCTGTTGCATCACAACTTGTTTGCTGTTAACACTTTTTTCCCTGCCGGAGACACATACTATGGATGCTTCGCTCGCAACAGTCGCATTGATTATGTGTGCTTGCCGCAGACGATGCGACCCAGAGTTCGTCAATGCTGCGTCCTCCATGCTGCCGGAGATAGGTTGCAAATCATTCCCAGCCCGGGAAAACGCGATCATAGGCCCGCGCTGGTGCGCTTTGAACATGAGCTTACATATACATCAAGCGCTACTGGCCCCAAATGGGACCCCATGCGATTGGCGCAAGGTGTTCTGCAGGGTCAAAGCAGAAAGCCGTTTCTGGCAGTTGTGGAGTCGCAGTGTGCGCAGAGCACAGACTGGGAAGTTTTGGAGTCTGGTCCGCCTGGGCCTCTTTGGGACAAGCTCAACCGCATTGTCTTGGAAGCCGGACAACTCTTTTACAGCAAAGCTGCGGCAAGACGACACCAACCGCACGACACAGCACAAGCTGCTGAAGAGCTTTGCCAAGCTCGGGCTGACTTGGCAGCCATGCCAAAGCGAGTCATATAATCGAGACACTACACACACCAAGACCTCAGCGACATGCTTGTCCGTTGGCGAGCTGTGGCCCAACACCGGCGCCGACAGAGAGAGTTGGATGTGTTGGCAAAGCGAGATAGGACGAATCGTGAGATCCGCTTGTTGGATGAGTATGATTATGCTTGGCATCGCAGAGACATGGCTCAAATGTGGGCCACGGCGAGGCAGCTATCTCGCAAAGCTATTGGTCCCAAGAAAAGATGCTATCGCAAACCTGTGCGGGAACGGCCAGACCACATGCAGCGGGAAGTTTTCCTCAAACAGCATGGTCCAGAAGGTGGGTGCCAAGCTGCGACAGTCCGATGGGAACACTTTGTCAGTCATGAAGACGCAGGCGAAGTGGTGGAGTCCGACACAGCGAAAGTTTGCATTGATGCGGCTGCTGATTTTCTTGCTCTGCGTCGAGAAGTGCATCGGTTGCGACTACGAAAAACAGTGCCAGAGTGGTCCTGTCCAGCGGAGCTGTGGAGACAGTTGCTGCATCCGCGATATTTGCGAACGAAGTTGCGACGTGGAGTGGGCTTTGAAGCAGAACCATCGGGACATTCTTTCACACAGCGTATGGTGGGGCTCATGCGGTCTATCAGGAGATATGGACGCTCACCTGCCATTTGGCACAGAAGTTCAACAGCTCAGATTGATAAGAACAACAACAAGAGTGGACCTGCCGGCGTTCGACTTATCAACATGTTGGATCCAATGGGCAGGGCTTTTTACAACCACCTCTGGAAGACCTGCAAGCATGCTTCTCAAAGAGACTATGCAGCTGGATACACCAGACAACGGAGCCGATTGGAGCCTATCCTGCAGCAGCACTGCTTGGGATGGCGTCTGCGAAAAGCAAAAGTTTCACACAACACGTCTTTTTATGATGCGGCCAATGCTTTTATTCCGTCGACCACTCAGAGCTGGACGATTGCATTTCAAGGATCTCCCCTGCACACAACGTCTGCTTGCTGTTGCAACGTCACAGAGCGGCTGTCATCTGCGTACATGGGGGGGATGAGTCTGCAGATTTCCGGCTTGGGTCCGGAACGCTACAGGGTGATGGAATGGCTGCGCAGCTGTTTGTCGAGGCATACAATCCTTGTCTCGACAAAGTGCGGGAATACGCCTCCTCTCTGGAGCCACCAGGACAATTTGTCGCATGGGATGTGGTCAACAATAAGTGGGTGGAAGCTGCTTTTTCCGCAAAGGCAGATGATATCGCCAACAAGCTCACTGGTCACACGGCGCAGGAGATTTCAGACAAGAGCTCCTTACTCAATGACACCATCGATCAAGAGTTTTCAGGGGTTGGACTGGCGCAGAATAGAAGGAAGCAGGAACATGTCCCCTTTTTTGCTGGGCCAGGAGCCAGACACGAGTATGCCGCATTGTTCCGTAACAACATCTTGGCAGGGCAGACTGTCCGCGCAGCTCGGTATCTTGGACCACGATATGACATGCGTGGCAGTTTACACGATGAGCTGCAGCATCGAGTGGGGGCTGCGCGGCTGGGGTGGGTCATGTTTGGCAGGTTCTGGTCTAGAGCTGCCGCTGCTCGGAAAGCCCGACTCACTGTCTTCAGTAGCATGGTGCACACGCCGTTGCTTTCTGGCCTGGAATGCTTCGTGCTACATAAAGGTGATTATGAGCGGCTTGACAGAACCCTGCTCAAGTATGCTCGAAAGCTCATGTGTGGTGCCGCTTGCCTGAAACACCAGGGCGAAAACGGTGAGATTCGCTATCAGGCCGTGCCGAACAAGCAGGTGTTCAAATACATGCGCATCGCACCTAGCAGGGATGAGTTGCTGGTCAAAAGATTGCGGTGGTATCAGCAGATCGCACGATGCCCCGAATTGCACAGTGTTTGGTTTGCATGCATGTTTGGGACTTTTGGTTTCGAGCACTATGCTACCATCGAACATGACGGCAGTTTCCACAGAGATGCCAACCCATGGGTACAACAGTTTCAGAACGATATTTTGGAGCAGCTGTTGCGTTTCGAAGATGGAGCAGTGCTGGTTTCGTTTCTTGATAGCAGACCCCTGCGGATTTTCACAGACTTGCGACAGCTATTCATCAAGCTCGACGTGTCCCCCATTCGTCTCAAACATTTTGCAGTCTGCCGGAATATGTTGCCAGCCCAGAGGTTTCAGCGGCGGAAGGGGGAGGGGAGGCAGATGCGGAGGAGCCTTCATACCGATGTACATGTTTGTGCGAAGATGGCACACCGTGCACGGCCACTTTCAAAAGCAAACAGCAGCTTTCGGTACATGTTCGCTCTACGCAAGGGGGTACACATGCAGTCATTCCTGATTGCAGAAAGCTGGCAATTACCAACCAATGCCCTTTTTGCCGACATGTGTTCAGCAGCAGGCGCACCGCGCAACAACACATTAGGCGAGCTTTGTGCAATCAGACGTGCACTGGCAGAGGTAGTGCTGTGGTGTTCGAGCCAAAAGTTCCCAATGACATCGTTTGCCCATATTGCTCAGTTGCTTTTAGGAATTGTCACAATTGTGGGACCATGTGGTCCAACATGTTGCTGGGCCCAGGCGCCAAGAGCAGCTGTAGTGAGCCACGTAGCTTGAAACCCGACTGCTTCACAATGGATGCTTGGGAGCTTGGCCCTCCTGCGGCAAGACCGATGGCGAAGCGTGTTGCTGTGGGGACCGAGAAGGACATGGCAAAGGCCGTGCATCTCATCGCAAAATTGTGCCTCAAGAACTTTCTTGAAGTAAGAGAACTCCAGGCTGCCTGCTTCGTGACGTTCATTCTCCCCAAAGCATGCCCGTACGTCCAAGCCGTGCTCAATGCCACGAAGCAGTATGCGGACAAGGCAAAGGGCGCGCAGTCGGGCAAGTGTGAACCTCCACCAGGAGAGCCTCATGTACATGCTTGGGCGGCGCTGTTGAGGGTGGCAATGGACGACGAGGCTCTCAACACAGATGACCGACAGGCCATTGAGCAACATCGTGCAGTGTCGACAGACCCGCTCATCATGTCCGGCATCGTGTATGTGTGCAAAGTCCGCAAAGCTTTTGACCGAGATAGCATGAAGATGTTTTTCTCGGTGCATCGTGATGCGGAGCCGTCCTTGGCGGCTTTGACGAA